CATCCCGTAAAACCCAACATATATACAATTTCCAGGACCCCCCCCTCCCCGACCCCCGCAAGGGCCGCATAAGCGGCCGACCTCACAAAAGTCTGCGCGTTTTGGCGCGCGTTCTTGCAGCGGGGCCGTCACAAGGGGCAACCCCGGTTGGCCCAGTGGTGAGTGTCAACAGTCCGGGTGCGAGAGAGTCAGGCTTCGCTGCCGAGCGACCCCCGACCCCCCCGGGAGGGGTTGGCGGTCGTGAGCACGTCAATCCTGGTGCACCTGGAGGTGGAACAGTTGGTGGCAAGTTAGGCGAAAGCAGCGAAGTCGGACTCCGGGAGTCGGTGGACCCCTCACATGTTTGGCCACGCGTGTGTGTGGTAGGAACATTTGGCGCAACAAACGGTTTCAACCTGGAGGGGTGCACGAACCACCTACGCTTCCCCCACCGGATACGCACACATTGTGGCCGCAAGACCTGCACCACTTCCACGGGCCCCCCCACGGCCGCACCAGCTTAGACAAGGAGATACGAATTTTCTTCGTTCCCAGGAGCTCGTATACTTCGTGGAGAAGTTTACCCAAATTGTTTTACCCTGGTCGGTCAGCAGCCGCTCCGGAGCACCCTTGTCGAGGACGTAGCCCTGGACAAAGGCCTCCGCGATGGCTGCTGCCGACTGGTTGGCGAGGGGCCAGGCCATAGGCCATCGCCTAAAATATTCTACCCCGGTCAATAGGTATCTATTTCCCCTAGGTGTAGCGGGGAATGGGCCCAGAATATCAAGCGCAACGAGACTTTGATAGACTGCAATGGTGGGTTGGACCCCCGCGCTGGTGGCTTCCGTTGCGCGCACTGAGTACACGACCCTAAAAGGTCATCCACGTCCCTTGCCATGCCCGGCCAAGAAAAATCCAGCTGGAGCATGGCAAGGGTTTTGTGAGTCACCAGGTGAAGGAGTCGCTCGTGCGCAGCCCACACCACTCTACCCCTCAATGCGGAAGGAACCACCAGCCGGTGGCGGCGGGATCTCCCGTCCCAATGCATCAAAAGACCTTGAAATAACCCCCACGAGTCGACATTTTCCGCCCCCCGACCAACTCCCCTGATGCGACGGCGCAAAGCGAGGAGGGAGGTGTCCTCCATTTGGAGGCGCCCCCACTCCACAACCGACAACCCCAGCAAAGAATCCCTCCCATCATGCTCAATAGGACCGGCAACCGAAGGCGCATCAGCGGCGGCCGCAAGGACCGAATCAGCGATCACATTCGGAGGTCTGCAATGCCCCGAACCCAGGAGGCAAGCGCACTCGGAGGTGGGCGGCAAACGCGACAGAGCGTCTGCGTTTGTGTGGCAAACGCCCTTACGATAAGTAGTTTCAAAATCAAAATCCTGGAGAATCTCCAACCATCGAGACAATTGGCCCGATGGCTGTTGAACCCGCAAGGCGTACTGCAGCGCCGCATGATCTGTGCGGACGGTGAAACGTTGACCGTACAGATATGGGCGATATTACTGAATGAAGTAAACGATCGCCAATAGTTCCCGACGGGTAACACAGTACCTTTGTTCCGCCGGAGACAACACCTGACTGCTGTACGCAACCACATGCTCTACGCCCCCAACAACCTGCGAAAGCACGCCCCCAATGCCCGTGTTGCTTGCATCCGTATCGAGCAAGAAGGGTTTCATAAAGTCAGGGTAACTCAACGGCGGAGCCCCCACAGTAGGGCGTCCCGGAGGGAGCGAAAAGCAGCCTCCTCCTTCTTACCAGCAATGAAACTGCCCCTTTGGATGTCAAGGCATGTAAGGGTTTCGCAATCGTAGCGAATCAGCGACAAACGACGGTAATACGACGCGAATCCAATGAAACTCCTGACCTCCCCCACCGAGGTGGGGCGTCGGCCAGGAGCTGACACATTGCTTTTTGGCGGGATCTGTGGCAATACCTGACGCCCACAATGTGACCCAAATACCGCACTGATTCGCGGAGCAAATGACACTTCTGGGGCTTGAGATTTCAAATTAGCAACCCGCATTTTGAGAAAAACGGCACGCAACCTCTGTAGGTGTTCATCGAATGTTTGACTAAAGACGATGACATCGTCTAAGTAAATCAAACATGAATCCCATTGCAACCCCGCCAGGACCAATTCCATTAATCGCTGAAAAGTTGCCGGCGCTGAATGTAGCCCCATCGGTAACTGGTTAAATTGGAAAAGGCAGTGCGGCGTACGGAAAGCAGTTTTCGGTTTAGATTAATCATCCAGAGGGAGCTGCCAGAACCCGGACAACAAATCCAATGTGGAGAAGAACCGCGCCCCTGCCAGGGCATCAAGCGATTCATCCATCCGAGGAAGCGGGTATGCGTCGGCTACAGAAATCTTGTTCAGCCGACGAAAATCGACACAAAACTGCAATGAGCCATAGTGTTTTTTAACTAAGACGGCGCACCCCAAGGGCTGGTAGAAGGAGATATAATATCCGCAGCCAGCATGTCGTCTATGGCCGATTTGACATGATCCTTTCGGCGGGACTCAACAGAAAAGGATTCTGGTGGAGTGGCGCGCTGTCACCCGTGTCAATATGGTGTCGCAGCAGTTTAGTACACCCAATATCGTATTGGTTTGACTAAAAACGTCAGAAAACTCACGCAGGAGGATTCGAAGCCTCTCACGCTGTAAGTCTGACAGGTCCGATGATCCCGCACAAAGCGCATCCAGCCACCCCTCGTCACGGTCCGAATGCGGTCGCGCCGGCGGTGCGGCGCTCACCTGACCAATAACCCGTTCCTCACAGGGTACCGGCGTCGCATGCGCAGCACGGTCCCTTGAGGAACCACAGCCGTTCGCGATCCCACATTGAGAACCCACGATGAAGGGATCCCCGTCCCCTTTTACAATGGTCTGGGCCGCTATCATATCGGGTCCGTTGACCCTGGCCCTAGTATGGTCCCAACAGAACCCCCCGATCCCCAACGCCCTGGGCAAATGGTCGCCGCAGCCTAAGAGGCACGAGCATCTGAGCTCCCGGCGGTACGCGTACCGTCCTCGCCACCAGCGCCTGTACCGTCGCAAATGCCGTACGGACAGTAGCGGGAGAGGACAAAAACATCATACGTCGGCCCGACGGGAGTTCGATGCAACCCTGGTCGACCAAGATACGAATCGGCATTTTGGCCAAGAAATCCGTCCCCCAACAGGCACGGAACCGCCAGCGAGGAGGAGACCAATATGGGGCCGGATAATTTTATGTCCCCAATACAAATTTGCACGCAGATCTGTCCGATAATGCCCAGCGAGCCCCCGTTAGCAGCGTAGCATGGAACATCAACGGGGAGCAAAGGACGGCTTTGAACGGGGAGAATGTTATAAATCAAATCGGACACTATAGTTTGCCGATGCTCCCGTATCAACTAAGACCCGCACCTCAACCCCATCAAATGCCCCACAACGACCCGACGACCCCGACGACGCGGCAACAACACGATGGGCCAACTCGGACCACTGGCCCGGTTGGAACGCACTCCCCACTGTGGTACGTTTCGGCGCGACGACAGGCAATGTTTGACCCCCGTTTGTTGCAGTGCGTGAGTGTGTCATAGGTGTGGGCGTAGGCCAAACATGTGGGGGTGCCACGACTCGCCGGAGTTTGCTGGTGAGGGCTTGGGTAGAGGCGCGACGTCCGGCCAAGGTGTCGCCCCGCGCTGTCGAGGAGCCCGGCATCCCGAAGCCACATGGCCCCGGAGGCCACAGTTGTAGCAGCGCGTTAGCGCCCCAGACGGCTTGGGCTGATCCCGGCGGCTCGGTCCGTCCCGAGCCGGTCGTCCCCCGGCTCTCCACTCCATCGGGCGATCCACAGCGCAGACCTCTTCCGATGGGAGGGTGGTTGCAGCCATGGTATGCCCGGCCGCCGCCTTGCTGGCCTTGCGACGCTGGGAAAGCAAGTTAGCGTGGATGTGCCGCGCGGCTGGCAGGGAACACATCTCCGTGTCGTCTTACGCCAAGACGACAATGTCCAAATCGTCCGCCAACAGCAGTATCTTCTCTGCCACCATGGCATCCACCCCTTCCTCGTCCATCCGAGGAAAAGCCGCCTTCGCTAGGGCCAGGAGAGCTGTGCGGTATGCCGAAGGCGATTCCTTGGCGCCCCGCTGGCGATCGTAGAACAGCTGCCTGCAGTCCGAAGGTGGTCCATAGACTGCAGACAGGAGTTGAAGCGCCATTTGCAGCATGGCGCGCTTCGCTCTTGGCGCCGAGGTGAGGGTAGCGAGGGCGTCACTGTCGAGCATCGCCGGTAGCGCGCGTAGCGCCTCGTCATCCGTCCATTGTGCCATTTCTTGGTGAGCGAGGAAGCGCCTTTGGAAGCCTCCCCAGTCACCGTCTTCCCCCACGAACTCCTTGAGAGGTGGTAATCGCTGCTGTAACGCGGCGTCCGCAGTTGAAGATCGCGCCCCGTCGTTCCCGCCACTCCGTACAGTTTTGGCGGGAAGGGCGGGTGGCATCGGCGGTTGCTCTTCTGGTGACACGCTGGCCGCCATTGATGACGTGGCGGTTCCTGGTTGGCGAGAGTCGGTCGCCTGACGTAGCCTGGCCCCGCCCTCAGCACCCACTGAACTGATGGCAGCAAATCCGAAATGGCGGGAACCGGCGCCACGTGTCGTCCGTCGTCGCCCCGTGCCGCTCCTCCAGCCCCCAGGCGAGTAATTTCCTCCAACGTGGCGGCTGCTGCGTAGAGTAGCTCCGCCAGGCGGGAGTGAGCCAGCCGTAGTCCATCAGCCGACGGTCCCCATCCGTCCTGCCGTTGCGGTGTGGGTGGACTCGGCCCCGGTTGCTCGGATTCGCCCTCCGCAATCTCGGGCTCTGAGTTGGCCGAGGTTTCCTCCTCCCCCGGTTCCCTGGTACGAGCCGTCCGTCTTGTTATCCATCCTTAGAAGACCACTTCTGACGCCAGTTGTAGTAGATTCCAGGAGACTTGGACGATGTAGTTGGAGGCACACTTATTTATTAAGCACAAAGTACATAACAGGCCGAGATGTACAACACTTGAAGGGGTATCGGCCCCTTCACCCGTATAACTGGGAGATCAACACTCTATGTCACAGCTAGCCTACTCCTAGGTCCTCCACTACCGGGCTAGGGGAGGCTAGCTAACCCAGCCCTGGTTAAGCTGGGATTACGGCACCCTGAGTCCCCAGACCGGCTCTTACAAGAGCATCGGCTCTGGGCTCTCGGGGCCACGCCACTGGCTTGCCCTGGTCGGTCCTGAGAAGGACAGCGAGCCAGGGGAGTCCCAGGGCCTATCTAGCAGGTCTTCTTGCTTCACTGGTTAAGGCTGAACACTGAACCCCGAGCCCTCCGGCTCACCGCCTTATATAGCAACTCCCCCACTGAGGGGTGGGGCCGTGGGGGATCCCAGCTCCGTGTCAGCCCCCCAGGCTGAACGGTGCGGACGTCGATGTAAGCGCCTCTCGGCGTACGGGCATAACCACGCCCAGTGTGATTGTTAAGCCCTCCGTAACACCTCTACACATATATAGTCATTGGTGACTGGGCTTAGACAATCAAATGCACTTGAGAACCCAATTAAATGATAAGTGGCTGTAACCTAGATTAAAATTTATATCCCAGTGGTTCTAGCTTATCTCGTTGGCCGATGAAGCACCCATCATTTAACAGTTGTGTAGTGAGTCCAACTGAGTCGCAGACGTTACCTTGGGAGCAACACTATTCATTCAATAAATCAACGTAACATAACACAACCTACACTTGGGTGTTGAATGCTCATGTTGCCACCCTCCAATATCTTCCAGTCACGTGTCGGCAGGTCAACCAGTGTATCATGCCCCAACGTAACCCTGGCTGGCTGACACTCCCTCCCGCTCCTTCACCCGGAGCCCACACCGCACACTGTACGCGGTGCCTCTGCGCTAACCAACGCTCACCCAAGCTTCGCTAGGGCTGGTACTATGCCCAGTAAGCGGGCGACACGTAATGCCAAGACATTATCCGCCGTGGCTTTGTAAGCCCGGCACCACACAGTGACAATCACAGTCACTACAGTTGTACAGAAGAATTTCAACTTTGAATAGTGCATCGTGCACAGCTCGTCGAGATGAGTCGATTGCCACAACGCCGACTATCAACAGACTAATAATGACTGCACCACGGACATTATGCGAGAGCCGGGGTACTATGGTACCCCGGGGTACCGCCATAAGGTTCACATCACAAGCTGATGAACTATAGGATTCACTACCAACCTTTCCATTCTCAATTAATTTCAATTTGAAGGGGAATGTTTCATCTAGTAACTGATGCTACCGCAAGTCAGGTTTCAATAATGCTCATGAACATTTTGATCATAGTCTCACCGCAGAGTCCACAGAGCTGCCCAGCGTAATCCATTGGTACAGACACCTCCACTTGATTATTCCAACCGAGCCGAACCGTGAGGCTGAAGTTGGTCATGAGCACGAGGTATGAGCCGCTCAGAGACACGTGCATCCCCGGCAACACCAGTGGGGGTGTCACCCGCTCCCCATCCAACTGTAGATTATAGCATATGAGTGATTCAAGTGTTAAGGAAATGATTTCCTTTTATAATAATGCTTGTACATCCCAGGAGTCTAAATATAAATTTAGATTTATTATTGGTTGGTTAATGGTCTTTAATTACTGCTAATTAAAAATTGAGATTACCCGAGTACCACATTGTTGAGCATTTGTGTACAGTTCATGCAGTAAGTGGCAGAATCGTATGAAGCCACCTTCAATTAACACAAAGGCTCACATTCATTTAATGGTGAAGGTTGGACTCAAGTTAAGAGGGCACATCTAAAAAGACACCTCTGCTGAGATGCTCAATTCAGATTCAGGCAGCCACCTTAATATAAACCGGGTTCCTGAGCATCCGGAGATGATGGTCTAAGGATGTTTACTAATTACTGTTATCATGAAGATGTTGTCGCAATTTGCCATTTCCAGCCTGTGAGATCATATTTGGAGGAACTGCCATTGTGGGCAGTAGGGAATTACAACCAGGAAAATGTTGCATTCTTTTCTTAGAAGCCAAGCACCAGCGAGTTAAGTGAGAATGCAGAAATAACAGATGAATTGGTGGTGGAATATACACTCGGCTTAGGTTGGTGCCTCCTATTAGCCTCTGCATGCGTCAACACAACGTGGATGTATAATTGCACCGTCTGTTACACTAGCTCAAACTAATAGGCTAATAATGTAACATTTAACTCACATATTACTAGATTTGAAGCTTTCGTGACTGCAGGAATCCATACTCTCTGGTTCTTTCGGTAAAGTCACGTAGGTATAAAATAAAAATAAATCACGACGTTTCGATTGCAACACAAGCAATCATCATCAGGTGGGAAAACCACAGCAAGAAAATGTTTTGCTCAAGTGGGTAAGAGGTTATATAGGTAAGAGAGGGGGGAAGTGGGCGGGACTGGAAGTGGGAGGCTGAGAGAGCTGAGGATGCGCGGGGGAGGATGCAACAACAACGCCACTGCAGCAACAATGCCAATGAAGCAACAATGCCAATGCAGCAGCAATGCCAAACGCTGGGGATGCAATTAACTTGGCAAAAAAAAATTATTGCTCTGGTTTTCCCACCTGATGATGATTGCTTGTGTTGCAATCGAAACGTCGTGATTTATTTTAATTTTATTTTATACCTACGTGACTTTACCAAAAGAACCAGAGTCACATATTACTGATGCTTTAAACCTCAGTGCTATCATGAGGTGTAATACTAACCAGTAGGGTGTCCCGTGCAGTCATGGTTATCCTGTGTCCGTATACGTCCACATAAACATCTTGGAGCACAGATATGCTTGGGCTGGCGCGCTGGTTTTTCGTCTCCACGTTGAAGTGGGGCAGGGAGGAGGAGATGTTGCACAGCTTGGCTGTTGTGTAGATGCACGCGCCCATGAAGTCGTAAAAGAGCCTATCAAATGTCGTGTAATGTGGGTCTCCCGTCACCAAGCATCTTGCAGCTACTGAAAGAAATTCACAAATTGCCCGTTCACTTCACGGTGACCGTCCATGCCACCATTTTAACTATTCGTTTTCATCACAGTTTTGTCTCTGTTATTTGGGCTGTATATAAATTAACGTTCATTTTTTTTTGTTTGCACCTTCATTTATCTAGAAGATGTAAAATGATGTCCAAATATCAATGTTTAGTTTGTTTATTTTGACAATGCGATATTGTATATTTACACTGGAATTATGTGAGAATAAATACATGGTATTGTGCTGTGTAGTCTCTGATTACCAGATGATGGAGCTCTGGACGGAGCTGCAGTGATGTCTGTAAAAAAAACAATAAAAGTAAAAACTATACTGTTCTAGCTCCCAAGCAATGTTTAAAACGTATTGTTTGTTTACCCCGTACTACTTGGTATACATTTTTATTTAAAGCTTTCGTGACTGCAGGGATTCATATTCTTGGTTCTTTCGGTAAAGTCACGTAGAAGGGAAACAATAAAATAATAAATATAACTACATTTTTATATGTTAAATCTGTGGGTCGAGTCATATTTTAACAATTGCACCTCTAATTTTGAACATTCCGATGCCATTGTAAGAAGGCCCATGGCTTTATTACGATTAGCGAAAGAAGTTCAACATATATACACACAGCCCAGTCCAAAGAGCTTGGGCAATTGTTTCCCAAAAGATCGTCTGGAAAAGTAAAAAATGTGTCTGTTACAAACAACATATGCAGCACATGATGATATATCTTTGAAACTCTTAGTTAGCTAGGCAATTGTGCTTAATATGAAGCCTTTAATGTTTTACTACGAATAACAGGTCTTCAATACTCACCCCTTTTCCCACATAGAAAACGAACTTGGTAGTCATGGCACTGATTATTCGCCTGGAGGTGGTTAAAACACTCGAATCCATATGTTGCGTTGCTGAAGGTAACTTCTGCTGTCAGCTCAACTGGTACTCCATCCAGTGTCATAACCTGTTTGTACGTGAATATTTCAGTTAGAAATAGACATCAGCTGTCTTTACAAAATAAGATCATAACAACTGTTGCAATATCTTAACACTCACCTCTATTTCAACAGGACGGGGGCATATCTGATCAGGATATTCATGTCTCAGCCACTGCAGTGTTTCAAAATCTCCATCCTCAGTTGGGCTGTCACGATCAAACCACTGTGTCCAGTGTCCATCTGTTATGAAACAGCATTATAAATATATTGTGCATATACATCTTAACGACATCGTTAAATATGGTGAATCCGATAAGAATTATACTCTTTGGTTCTTTCGGTAGAGTCACGTAGAAAGAAAAATAAATAATAGATCACGACGTTTCAATCACAACAACAAGCAATCGTCTTCAGGTGAGAGAGAGAAACAAGCCGAAAAAGAAAGAAAGAAACTAAGATGAGAAATCAAACTTAGCAAACTTAGAAATGTAATGCAACTCAGAGAGTCGGCTAACACAACAGTTAACACTTTCTCATCTTTTTTCTTTCTTTCTTTTTCGGCTTGTTTCTCTCTCTCACCTGAAGACGATGCTCTTTGTTGCGATCAAAACGTTGTGATCTATTATTTATTTTTCTTTCTACATGACTTTTCCGAAAAAACCAAAGAGTATGAATTCTTGCAGTCACGAAAACTTCAAATCAAGACTGATAAGAATTGTTTAAGATTTTGCCATCACAATTTTCCGTAACATGTGCAGTTGTTGGTCAGCCACACCAATTTTTGAACAAAAGTAGTATTGTCCATGTTTATACACTATAAAATACCAAAATAAAAACCCAGGAAGTGATGGGCTTGCACAAACATAAATCATGCCTGCAAACATCCATTGCACAATGTAGAAGTATACATTATCTGCCATTATGATTTAGCCACACATTAACACAGCCACGTCCACACTAAGAATATTGTATGCACACATTAATCCATGTATGCACACATTAATCCATGCAATGCAATACTAATTATGTTATACATGTTAGCATTTCTCTAAAATTCTGTATCCACCATAGAATGCCCAGATGTTCCAGAACTCACCATAGTCCCAACACAGGAAGCGGACTTTATAGTCATGACATTTTCCGTCCACTTGGAGGTGGTTAAAACACTGAAATCCATATGTTGAGTTACTGTAGAAAACTTGCCCAGTCGCCTCAGCAAGAATTCCATCCAGTGTCCTAGCCTATTTTCGGCAAAATGTGCGTACATATGTTCGTATACAAATAAATAACATTCATGTCCTTTAAAAAAAATGTCATTAAAATATTTTCCACCAGCTTAATACACACCTCTATTATAATGGGATTGGAGCAGATTTGTTGAGGATATTCCTCTCTGAGTGTTTTCACTGTCTCAAAGTCACCAATCTCATGGGGGTTGTCGTGATCAAACCACTGCGTCCAGTGCACACCTGTAATGTAACACAATGAAAAAACATCGGCCACAAACCCACACACAATAACACAATCAGTTTCCAAGAAATGCATAATTTCGCCGGATTGAATAGCTTATTGTGCACGCCACTAAGGAAAGCTTAAATATAGGAATTGGTTTTAAGACCTGTATTTTATTCTCACAAGTGAAAGGAGGTGGAATGAAGATGTTAGAGCTTTAGCAGACTTAGATGGTTTGGACATGTGTTGAGAAGATGCAGGGTAGCATTTGAAGCCTTATTCATTGTCACTTAATTTAAGATTATAGACCAAACTCTTGACATTAGCCTTCATTTCTTATTTAATATAACATGTATTGAGAATAAATGTCAGCAAAGTTGTTAAATATGCACAAAAATATATAGTTTTCATGCAACATGTATTGACCAATATGTAATAAATAGCATCTTACCAAGATGTAATGGGGGAATCGTTTGGGGAATGGTGGATGGAGTTGTGTCAACGGCTGTGGAGAGAAACATACACAGCATATTCATTGCTGCAGATGACTTGCACGGCATCAAGCAAGAGTAAGGTCTCAGAGTATGCGGCGAGGGATAGGTTCCGTGCACCTAACCCTCGTTTCTCCGAAACGAGTGTATATATAAAATATGAGGATATATAAAATGTATATAAATGTACATACATTTTGTTAAAGTGCAGTACTGTACAGTTAATGATTCACTAATCATTGGAAGCATCCAGGTCAGATCGAACATGATATTTGTTTAGGACTCGGTTCTTGCGCGGGCACTTCAGTTAGACGCCGTCAAATCCACGTTGGCGTGATGGCTGGGAGCGATTTGACTCCTCACTTCCCACCCCGTGTGTGTCGCGACAGTGTCGAGTCGCAAGTGTTAAGTATGAATCGGCGTCGGTCGCGTATGAGCGATTCCGCGTACTCTTGAGCCCGCGTATTCTGAGACCTTACTGTATACACCTGAATTATTACAACATCGGTGGTCATTGCAGGCTTAGCAAACCTAACTAACTTCTCAACGTAAATACAATCTGGAATCAAACCTGCTTTACCGGGATGGTGACATCAATCCTGATTTTAAGCTTTCATAACTGCAGGAATCAATACTCTTTGGTTCTTTCGGTAAAGTCCCCTGTAGACTACCTGATTATGTTTTGTATTAAGGCCACATGCTCTAACAGTGGAATAACTTAATGATCCTGCTTCATGTCTACGATCTCTCAGCAAAACTGTATCAAGTGCAGCAGCAATCTTTATTTCTGTGGACAACCAATAACCTAATGGGCCAACACTAGGACTGTGAGCCAAATAGAATTTTACACTGGGGACTTTTTGCAGCTGGGGAGACCAACGGGATGGTAAATTAAAATACAACACGTGCATTCTGGATGTGTACAATCCACATTCATATCGAGACACTAAATGAAGTGAAAGCTTACCAACGTTGTGGCATCCGAAAATGCCGTTCTGCACACTGCAGTTCTCGGAGGCTCCACACTGCCAGGGCTCACAGACCACACCTCCAGCAGCGCCACAGGAGCAATGCAGACTGCAATTCTGTGTTGCAAACCAGCTGTCCCCAAGCTACAAAAAAACACATGAATGTTGGGAATCCTGGATGTTATTTACAGCAAAACAATTGCACATGATGATTATGTTATAGAAGTAATATTTTTTAGACGGCACAAACATACTCATTTCCATATAACAAATCCAGTAAAGAATTGCTATATCATTTGACAAGCTATCCGAGAATGAAGCCGATACATGAGTGTACAGATTCAACATATTAAAGGCAGTGCATTTGTTTACTCTTAATAACATTGATAGATTTCAAATCACACAATGCAGCCACAAAAGTGAGTTAAGGATAGTGGGCCGGTCCAGCAGTCGTGTCACACATACTCATCACACATGCTCGTTTAAATATTTTCCACCTGTGTCCCTCAGATTTTTTTCAACAAACTTGTTGATATGGCTTTGTTTATCTCGTATTTATCTTCAGTACAACTTTGCAGTTTCCTTGTTAAGCTCTTCAACAATTTTCTGAGGCTCATTTCTCTTAATTTACATGATGAATATGATTGTATTAACGTCATCAAATATGAGAGGAAGACTACCGATAAGACTGAGGAGTGAGATCAGCTGGTGTGAACAGAAAGATGGATTGTGGTAATTTGCAGCATTAAGACGTGGTGGCATCTTGAGGTGGCCTTCCTCCAGTCATGCAAAGATCACCACTGATGAAGATGACGATTTAATTTAGAAATCAGGAATGGATGGAGTTTGCAAGAGGATGGTAGCGCTAGGATGCACGGGGAGTTGAAGCTGCAACACAATCGAAAGCCTAGAGCCTCTTCCCAATTACATCTAATCTACCACTGCTTAACGGAGATAATAACCCAGTTGAATTGGGTAAATGACACCCATCCTGTTTAAATTAAACTGGCGTGGCTTTAGATGATAGAGGTTGTTCAACATACATTTTGATATGGGTGGTTTGATCCAAAGTATTGGATTGTTATCATAGAGAAGAATTTGCTGATTTTTACTTGGATTCTGGATCACTCTTTCAATGAAAAATGACAAAACACTCTCTATGGTTTGAAATGCATTACGAGTGTCAATGGTAAAATACAATGTATAGAATGCATAAGCTATAATATTGGCCAATAGGGCACCATTGTTAATTTAATCTGAAACTTGATTATACCCAAAAAATACTCATTGATGATTGAGATTTTCAAGTAAAATGTTGTCGTAGAAACATGATGTGAAGGGTTAACCCACTGGGTGATAGAAGTCGTTGTGGTCCATGCAGCCACACTGATCCTGAGGGACACACTTGTCTCCTGAGAGGACAAAGCCCTCGTCACAGACACAGCCCTCCCCACAGGGCTGCTGGCAGGCACCTGGGAGGGTCACATTGCTGCACGTGGCTGGGCATGATGGGGCACAGCTCTCATAGTGGCTGTCTGCTGGGCATTCGAGCGCTGTCAACACAAATGATAAACATACTCAGAGATCAATTACAATGGGGATACACAACTGCAAGCAGCTATACAAATGAACAAACCACACAGATGTACATTGTGCTTCCACAGAATAAAAACAAGGCCCAGTCTCATGCAATGTGATGTGTTACGGATTAAAGCTCAGACAGATGTGCACTCACGGCAGAAGGTGTCGTTCCTCCACATGACGATGACCCCATGCTGGGCACACTGGTCAGCGTAGGTCTGCATGGAGGCACAGAGGAACTGCTCGTTCCCATCCATCCAACACTGGTCAAGAACGCAGGTTATGAAGAATTGCTCTGGATTGACCACTGCATGGCATTCTTGGAATGCTCCTGTTCACAAGTGACATGAATATCAGTTACATCACAACAGCATTTGTAACCAAAATGATCAACATATATGTTATTAGGGAATGTTAATTGAAACAAAGTTGTTTAATGTTGAAAAGGAAATGATGGATTCAATATTCAGAACAGAATGAACTTACCATTGACATCATGTATCTTTCCACAAAATTCCTCCGATTCAAACTTAGCCTGTTCTCCTGCATCACAGGGAACTGGAGGCTCAAAGTCAATGACGCAGCTACAAATACAACAAAAACAAACTCTTACTACCACATCAACATAATTCCGTTCATCATATTTGCATTGTCTCCAGGAGTACCTTGGACTTCTTCGAACTGAATCAGAGACATGGGACACAAATCTTCTAATTAATTTGGCCATCAATCCACCCCACCTGAATGATGGATGTTTTCAATTCCACAAACTGCAATCCACACAGGGATATTTTCACAACCTGTGCAGGACATTTGGCTGTGCCTGAGTCTACAGGGGGAATGAATCAATGTAGGTGAGGCTAGGGTCGAGCTAAGACGCAATTCAAGATCCATAAACTCCATGGTATTCCACAACAGAGGGTGAGATTGAATGGTCGGCTTTATCCATGGGCATAAATTACACCGTAACATGCATTTGGCAGTCTTCTAATGCCACACAATTTGAATGACAGACTGGTGTAAAAACATTATCATAAAAAACAGGAAATTAGATTTGCAGATAATTACCACTTACAAAACTGTCCAGTAAACCCATTCAATTAACAAAAAGTGCTCCATTGATGAACACGATTTCAGATGAAAATGTACGCTGAAATTACTTTCGCACCATATGCAGCCAACCATTCTAATCAGAGGTGCGGGGGAAGGACAGAAAACTATTCCTAAAAAGCAGTTCCAAATGAATTAGTTTTCAATATAGATTTAAAAGTGCGTAGCTCCAGTGGCTTCCTAATATCGGAAGGATGACTGTTCAAGATGGCCGCAAAAACGGATCTGAAAGCGTGTGATACAGTGACTGTCTTTTTAGATGGTTGGCCAAAAGCAACTGTGTGAATGACTGGAGTTTGCAAGATGGTTTATTCTCCTTAGCGAGATCAGCAAGGTATTGTGGTTAATTTGTGACAAGCACTTTGTGTGTATAATAAGTACAACCTTATAATGTATCGTTCAGCAATCGGAAGCCAATGCAGCTCAGTGAGCACTGGACAGACATAATTGAATCTTGCAGTACCCGTCACAACACATGCCAAATTATTTTATACACGCTGCAGTTTGGTAATGTGTTTTCCGGACGTCCCATAGAGTAGTGAATTGCAATAATCAAGCCTTGTCGATATTGTAATACACGCCACCCGTGTTGTTTGTGTCACGATTCAATCGTGTTAGAATGTGTCATAGAGCCTTCATATGCAGATTGCAGGACCTAACAATATTTTGCACGTGGTGATCAAACGGCATATTCTGGTCGAGTATGGTGCCAAGGCACTTTAGATAAGCAGAAAACTGAATCCTGAAGTCTGCGACCGCCATACCTCATCCTCCCACATTTGTTTCCCCTGAGCTTGAGTGCCAACCCGCAGAACCTCCTCTCTTTCTGGATTAAGCAGTATTTTGTTTCATGCAATCTACACATGCACTGCTCACGTGGAATCTTTGACTTCACTGCAGTGTACAATTGCGTATCATCAGCATATTGATGGAACTTGATGTCATAAGATGAGGTGACATCAGCGATCGGAGAGACGTATGTTGAAAATAGGAAGAGTCTGAGGATGGACCACTGTGGTACGCCAACTAGACATGGCATAGGCGACGACTGTTCGTTACCCAGCTTGACGAACAATGATCGACCATGTATGTATGAATGACTCAATTCACCCCAGTGCCATACCCAATACATCGAACCTTAACCATAGCCACCCGATGAGTATGTCATAGTCGATGGTGACAAAGGTGGCTGAGAGATCAAGGCCAACCAACGCTGCAGCACACCGGTCATCAATGATCTTGTAGAGGTCATCAGTGATCTTTAGTAAAGCTGTATCAGTGCTGTGGAACTTCTGGTATGCCTACTGCAATGGGTTGAATCTGCCCCTCGCAGCGACGGAGGGAAGTAACCTCTTCAGACAAAGGCGCATTTTAAATTGTACTCAGGTTTGAGATCGGGCGATAGTTTGCGGGGTCACTATGGCTCTAGCCAACTTTTTTTCAGGCGCAATGTTACCTGTGCCATTTTGAACCAGTCTGGGAAACAGCCCTTGCTCAAAGAAAGATTTGCCAGGTGGTCAATCAGTGTCGCAGGCACGTCCAAGCATGATTTGAGAATCAACGTGTGGATGTAGTTGAGTGGCAAAATATTATTTGGCAGCCGTGTGATGAACATCAACACCTCTGCCATCCACGTTGGTGCCAGGGTCTCGAGTTCTGCATTGGTTCCAGGTTGATGAAACTGAGATGGCAGACCAGGAGAATGCGTTGTCTTCAAGTTATAAACTGCCATCTTGATCGTCACTATTTTATTGCTGAAGAATGTCGCAAGATCTGTGCACATACTGGGTTGACTAGTTTATGGGTGGTTGAAGTACAGCAGGACCCTTCACGATGCGTCACAGAGCACGGGGGTCAAGAGCCAACTCATTGACTCACAGAGCATAGAACGATCTGTGAGACTCAATAATAAGTCGGTTGTCAGATCTGCAGGCTGCTCTGTAAATGAGTCAGACAGTTTCAAAACCAATTTTCTTCCAAAGATGCTCCAGCTCACTCATTGTCTGCTTTGCAGCGATCGCCTCTGGTGATAGCCAGTTACTGTGCGCTTTCCACGTTCTCTTTGTGCTTGTTCAGATGGGCAAGAGTTTATCAAGAACAGCAGTGATGACATTTTTTAATTGAGCTGCAAATTAATCGACCATCGATGCAGGATTTAGACATACCGATGATGACCAGATCTCGTGATGGGAAGCATCGTGATCCAGTCACGAGACTGTGATCTGAAATACCCATGTCTTAAATAACAATTTAGGTCACAGTTACGGCATTGGCAGATGTGAAGATGTTATCTGGTATATTTTCCCAGTTATGTTTCGCTGCTAACGTGCTGGGTTAAACTGTGACTCTTAGCAAGATCACTAGCTGTTGATTTTACCACAATAACCAGTCGGTCCGGGACAGTTCAGCTCACCACAGATGATGTAGCGACTCTAGCGAGAGCCAAGTGAACCACACTCCAGCAGACCAGAAAGCTCGGGAAAGAATTTCCACAGCAGTGAAAACGGCGGTCGATAGATGACAACGAACTTAAGCCCCAGTATGCTGTTTGTTATTTTCACAAGCAGCAGCTGGAATAATGTGGTTGTTCATTAGTCGCTCAGAACTTTCACGCAGATGTCTTCATGGTGAATCAGAGCGATCCCACCACCATGCGGGTTTCCGGTGCCAGGCTTCCCACGACGGTGCTGATGTACAATAACATATCCGTTAGGTGCAGCCTCACGCTTAATTACGTCCGGTGAGTCGTCATATACCCAGGTTTCGCAAAAGGCCAATATTGTCGAGTCCACAATCGTTGATAAGATCGTGGATCAGCACCGTCTTGTTGACTTTTGAGCGTGCAATGACAAATCCAAAATTGAGGAGCCCTGGTCCGAGGTTTGGCTCGATACCCAACATCAGCAGCATTATGGTGATAAAGCTGCTCTTTTCCATGATCGTGTGGCTGTAGGGCAAAAAGAAGAACTGACCAGATCTGCAGCACAACCATGTGTGAGGCATTACAACAAGTGACGAAAACGGTCGGGTAGTGGTCAGCATTTCCACAGACGATCGTAGCACAGTGGGTGCAGAATTCGAGTCGCTTGAAGTGTAAAATTCAGCCAATCAGCACTGCCTTCTGCACGTTGGATGCTGGGCCGAGTCTGCTGGCGAGTTCCATCGCAGTATCGGCAACGTTTTGGTGAAATGGAACTGGTTTTTCGATCCAAGCCAAGAGAAGTTTCCGGTATGCCCCCCATTCTCCAGGAAGGAGTGGAGGCATCACTCTACCAGACCGCTCAGCTCACTTAGCCCCGCGAGAGCAGGGCCCAGCCGCAGACAGCCGGGCAGCAGCAGCAGAAGCAGTCGCAGCGTCGCCATCGCAAGGTGTTGTTGTTCTTGTTGTTGCTGTTGTTGCTGCTGTTGTTGTTATTATTGTTTTTGTTACTGTTGTTGCTGCTGTTCTTGTTGTTGCTGCTGCAGTTGTTGCTGCTAGTCTTGTTCTTGTTGCTGTTGTTGATATTGTTGCTACTGTAGTTGCCGTTGTTGTAGCTACTTCTGCCGCTGTTGGTGCTGTTAGTGTGATTGGAATGCTTGTGTGTGATTGGAATACAGTGAGTTATCAGAATGTTGTGAGTGATTGGAATGCTGTGTAAATGAAATGCCGTGTGATTGGAATGCTGCGTGTGATGGAAATGCTTGTGTGAATAATGGGCAAGTGATCACTTACTCAGCAGAGCTATTGTCTGATATCCAGCTACTTCCCAGCTCAGTTGAGGAAACAGCTACCATCCCATCCGGCATTAGGTAGTCATCCCCAACATCACCATTAAAGTTTCCTGTTGAAAAGAAGACTAAATTCACATGATCCACAAAACAAATGGGTAAATAATAAAGGTACAGCCCTGTAATTCCTTGCTCATGCCAATGCTGGAAGCTGTACTGAGAACAGCTGGATTTTCAACGAGAGATTTCTCATGGATTCATCACACCGGTTGCACAAAGTACTTTGTAAAATTTTCATGTAACAAAATAATAATGACATCTTCAGGCAGGGTCTCACCGCAGAGTCCACAGAGCTGCCCAGCGTACTCCATTGGTACAGACACCTCCACTTGATGGTTCCCATCGAATCGAACCGTGAGGCTGAAGTTGGTCATGAGCACGAGGTATGAGCCGCTCAGAGACACGTGCATCCCCGGTAACACCAGTGGGGGCGTCACCCGCTCCCCATCCAACTGTAGATCATAGCACATGAGTAATTCCAGCGTTAAGCAAATAATGAGTCCCCTTTATAATGCTTGTATATCCCAGTGGTCTTTGGTTTAATATACGTTTGATTATTTCTGGTAAAAAAGTACTTTCATGACTTCTGCTCAAGAATTGGGCTTTCGAGACCTAAGTATTGTACCCTATTCTCTTATTGAGAATTTGTGTATAATTGAAGCCAAATCACATCAAGCCACATTCGATTAACACAAAACCTCACATTACTTTTGAGGCTGGATTCCTTGTCTCTCTCATCTATTAATAATTCTAAATATATTAATGGAAATTATTTATCAAAAACAACCTTGATTCATCTTTTAGTTTCGGAGGATCCTGCGTTGAGATGTTTGAACAGTTATATAAATAAGGAAACCAGAGAAACGGACCTGCCATCTATTGGCCACCTCACAGTGTCATGCCTACAGCACCTGGCGATCCCTATGGGTCACCCATCAAAATGCTAACCAGGCTCAAGCTAAATCCAAGCCTGCCACACCCACTTCCACTTATGCTCGTCTCGTCTGTCCTCCCCAATATTAGTTTGTTCCATCGCCTCTGCTTGAGTCCACACAATGTGTATGCATAATGGTATTTTACATTTAACTCATTTGTTACTATAATCTCGGCGGTAACACGAGGTGTAATACTAACCAGGAGGGCGTGCTGTAAAGACAAGGTGACCCTGTGTCCGTACACGTCCACGTGAACATCTCGGACATAAGACACGCTTGGATAGCCACGGCGTTCGTTTTTCGTCTCCACGTTGAAGTGGGGCAGGGAGGAGGAGATGTTGCACAGCTTGGCTGTTGTGTAGATGCATGCGCCCATGAAGTCGTAATAGAGTCCATCAAACGTCATGTAATGTGGGTCTCCCTGTATCACGCATCTTGTAGTGACTGAAAGAGATTTTAGAATTTTCTGTTCACTTCCCGGTGACCATTCTCCCAATCTCTCCAAAGTGATGACCAACTTACCCGTGCAGCCATTTTAATTATCCCGAAGGGGTGGTTCGAAACATCGATCAATGTGATCCTTATGCTCAACAATATACACATTGAATCGTGTTTGTAAAAATGTATGTTTTTCTATTCGTGTATGCTTAATGTAATGGGTTCGCATCATCCCTACAGTAACGAGTGGTAGGCAATAGCATTCACTGTAGTGTTAAATAAAAAGTATCTATAAACAAATGGAATTGCAACCATGAATCTGGGCAAGTCATGGAATCGCAGGGGTTGAATCATTCAACCCTTATCCGTGGTGTCAGGAGGTTGATTTTATTTTTCCACCTCCATCACTGATTTAACGAGGCTGCAACCGCCATTTGGTTTGAATGCAGCCGCAGGACACAACATTCAAGGATCATAAATTACAAACGCTGTGAAAAAGGTAAGATAATTTCAGTAAAAATGTACCACTATAACTTGCAACTCAAAGAGAAGTTTGAAAACCACATCTTTCCTGTGATATCGACCACATAGTAGCACACTGCTATTTGTGTGTTTTAAATTAAATGAGGTCTGTATGCACTTTCCATAGCAGAAGGTATGAGTTAAAAGGTATGAATATGAAATGTAAATATCCACTCAAATAATATAAATGTTTCTAATTCATAAAAAATACTGATTTTACATATTAACTACGAATGCGTATTTATAATTGTTTTAAAGTGGGAAATGTTAAAACATCAATCTATAATATTTTATATTTATCTCAAGATATTACATTTTTTGACAATCATCAGCCATTGTCTATCCACTACTGGATGAAGGCCTCCCCCCGCCATCACCAGCCCTCATAGTGCAGTGCTGCCACCATCCATCTCACGAATGCACCATGAGCTCATCGCTCCATCTCTGCTACGATCTTCTGCTTGGCCAACTTCTCTCATTTGGCTCGCCCACCAGCCATGCAGGGATGTGTCTTGCCCTAACCCATTTACTTTTCTTAATTTAACAAATTAATGTCTCCAATTTGTTTATTCCCTGATCCACTGTGTGCCTTTTTGTATCTCAGTATTCTAACTATGCAGCTCTCCGTGTTTCTCTGTACATTTTACATTACCAATGAGGGTTTCTATGGAAGCACATGCATAGTTTTAACAATGAACATTTTAGTTAAGAGGAAATTATATGTAGTCTCGAATTACCAGGACGTGGCAGAGCTACTGTTGCTGTTGTCGTTGTTGTTATATCTGTGATAAAAAAAAAGACATCAAGTCACAAAAGATTTCCACTGATATCAAAATAAAGTTACCTTTTGCTAAGTCAGAAGATGAATTTTTCAACATTAGATTAGAAAAATTAGGGCATAAACATCATACATTACAAACCATCTCAGAATTATTCTTTAAATTAACAAATAAAGTTGCAAAATGGGCCAAAGTTAAATATTAACAAAATAAAGATTATACAACAATTGCTTCCAATTATTGTTGGAGAGGTAAAACTAGAAACGAGAAAACAAAGTATATTTATGGCAACTGCTGAAGGTGGATCATGTTTCAAAATGATATGAAGAGAGTGCTTAGAAGCCAACGAGCCAGAGCAGCATGGAGAGGTTTTGGAAATTTTATGTTGTCAGTATTGCCAATCTTGACATGTATTGGAAACATGGACCCATTGACAAACACACATAACAAAAGCTGAAAAGTGTGCAAAGGACGGAGAGATGCATGCTGGAAATGTTACACTGAGAAATAAAAAGAGGAACACATTTATGAGAGAACAAACTTAAGATGAAAACAGGATATGGGCTTTATTTTATGGATATATGATTAATTTCTGAGTGAGATGGATATGAAGATGGAGATGTATCAAATATTAGAATGCACACGTCATTACAAGTACCTTTATTGTAACATGTAATACATTTTCAGGATATGGACGTAGATAAATACCTAAATGGATAATCTGAAAACTTAGCGCATATTGTAAACTAAAGATGTTGGGTTACTGTGAGGTAGCAGTGAATGTTGCAGTGAAAACTGGAGTTGACTGCTGTTTCATAACATAATCCCACGTAACAATAGTTAATAAAAAAAACATGCAACGTAAGTATTAGTGAAATATCATAACAATGATCAAGTGAGCACTGAGGTAGTGATATTTTTTTACAGCATTAACAATTCCACATTCCAACGGAAGGGGCCAGTCTCAAAAAGTTACAAGTACGGTCGATTTTCCACCTTCTGAATGTGAATCGCATGGCCTGGTGATGCGTAGAATGAAAAGAAGAAATGTATCAAAACTTACAGTTTTTCCCACATAGAAAGCGAACTTTGTAGTTGAGACATTGACCATCCACTTGATGTGCATTGAAACACTGAATTCCATTGTCTGCGTCATAATATGCTAATACTTGTCCTGTTTCCTCAGCAGGAATACCTTCCACTGTCATGCCCTATTTGTTTGCAGAGTATACATGAGGAGATAATGCATCAATTAGTGACATAAATGTGTTTTTCTTGAAAAATATGATCATGAAAGAGTTTTGTATATACTTTGCACACACCTCTATTTTTATGCGATTAGAGCAGGGTTGACCCGGATAATGGTATTCGATCGATACAACATCTTCAAAGTCACCAACCCCAGATGGCCGATCACCGTTAAACCACTGTGTCCACTCCCCATCTGCAATGTAAGATCCATTACAAGCATATGTTGCAGTAACCATTATTTATTATTTTATTACCAGTCCAGTCTTTATGGGATACAGTGTTTCCGCTTCACACGCATAGATTTTTTTCTGGGTGCTCTGGTTTCATTCTACACGTAAACACTCATTAATTGGCTGATACTGCCTTAATATATAGAGGACCGCAGAGCGTGGACAATTGTTGGCACCAGCTCACTGCTGCCGTGCCGCTTGGCTGTGGTTCTTCACGCCTCTGAGTCGTTCTTAATTCGAGAGCGAGTGAATGTGATGTGTGCCGCGTTACAAGTTGAAACTATTTATAAGTATTACCATCATCATTATGAGCCATGATAAATATACTGGTAGATAAAGGGCACAAGGCATCACCGTCTCTCATTCCTGCAACGCAGAAATCTCTCAATCTTCACCGTGGACATCGTCTCAGGCGCATTCCCTCCCTTGGCCACCACTCCATCATTAATCTTGACTATCGGCCATCAAACCTTTTCGTGATGTGTCCTGCCCAAGCCTGTTTACTCTAATGAGCGCAGTATGTCTCTGATCTGTATATGTTCTCTAATACACGTGCTCAATTTCTCATCCAGCAGTGGATTTACAAAAAGGCTGTAAATGTGCACACTGAATCTATGCGAGAGAACTACATTTTCAAACTATCACACCATTACCTCTCCTAAGTTGCCATCCAATCAATGATAAACCATATCTTCATAAAATCATTTTCATCATATATGATTGGATGTGGACAGTCTGAAAACATATATGACAAATCTTACCAGGAGGTTTTGGAGGAGTAGTTTTTGAAGTAGTGGAAAAAGTTGTTGTGTCAACAGCTGTGTGGAAGAAACAGAAGTAAGAAATAAATAATTGCTAATGGGTGGCACGTACCTCAAAAAGCCACCTGTCTGAATAAGTTCCACTTTCTGGAAGTGTGGAAGAGGGCCAACTTGAAGGGTTATCTCGAGTTCCCTCTACTGGGGGCCCTTCTGCCCGTAGTCACGTGAGTATGTAATGTCAGGGCTGCACTTCAATACTACTAATTCTGGAAAGATAAAATCAACATTGGTGATTCTGGTCCAATGGTAACTCTATAAGAATAAGTGATATCGGTTATCCCGTGGATGGTAAGTTGGTAGATAAATCTGCTAGATCCCATGTTTGGTTAGCCTTTGTTATTTTGTTATTCTGTTCCCAATTATCTTTGGGGATAATTGATACATGTGCGATAAAAGGAAAACAGGTCTGTAGTCAGTTTTAATGAAGGAAATGAGGCATTATTCTAACTTCAAGTCCTTTTTTAGTTTTTAGTCAGGTCTCAAAGCATGGCAAAGGAATTCTGAAAATGAGCACTGCTTATGAGAAGAGGATGTGCTCTTAGTTGGTTGCATATTTCATATTTTGAGTAAGGTGTGAAGGTGTATTTTGAAGAGGCATTTTGTAAGATGCCCTGTATTAGCTCGTCAATGAAATGTGCACTTTGAATGTATTGTAATTATTGTACACAATTCCTTTATTGGATTACCATAAGATGGGGAAGCAGTTATTGTTGAAGTGGAGACTGGAGTTGTTGTCTCGACAACTGTGATTCAGAATATGCAAATAACACATTAGTAAATTATAAAAAGTAATGTTTAGTCAAATATCAAATCAAATTTCCCAAATGAGCATTTAGGTAGTGCTGACCTGTCTAGGGCACATCGATCAGGGGACTCCAATCCTTTGGTTTAAGGCATGCCTCAAAGCGTACCTATTTCTTAACGACGTCTCAAAATTAGCTTTGCGTATGAGAAGGGGATGTGGTCTTATTTGATTGGATGTGCGTTTCAGTTTAGAATTAGGTATTAAGATGTATTGTAATGTACCTTGTAGTGGTTCTTCAATTGAATTTGCAATTTAAACGTGTATTGTACTTGTTATGCTCAATTACAATAATTAATATTTCCCTTATTGTAGCATGGAATACATTTTCAGCAAATGGGCTTTTATAAAAAAAAGTAAATGCATAAAGATTCTACTGAGTGCACATTGGAAATTAGCTAATGATGTAAAGTTTTGGATCACCTTGAAATGAGGTGGCAGTAATTGCTGAAGTGAAGACTTGAGTTGTTGTGTCAACAGCTGTAATTCGCGAAATAATTCGAAATAACAACAGTTAGAAAATAAAACATCCAGAGTGAGTGTACTGGCATTTTATAATGTAGACTGTAGTCTGGTTCTTAACCTCGGTGAGTGTAGTGGCAGTCTATAATGTAGACTGTAGCCTAGTTTTTAAGCTTGGTGAGCGCATTGGCTACAGCCTACATTATAGACTGCCAGTACGCTCACCGAGGTTAAGAACCAGGCTACAGTCTACATTGTAGACTGCCAGTACACTCACCCAGCTTAAGAACCCGGCTCCAGTCTACATTAGTGTTTTTTCTACTTAATTTTTTATTATTCTTTTTCTATCTACGTGACTTTACCGAAAGAACCAAAGAGTATGAATTCCTGCAGTCACGAAAGTTTTAAGTCAAAATGTAAGTCAATGCATTTCGAGGACGATCTTGCATATAAGAGTCTGCCATTTTGATTGTCGCGTAGGTTTCCCTGAACGTCTTTATAAAGTAGAAAATATAATGTTAAATTAAGTTAAATATTTAAAATATGAAAAAATATGCATTTCACATCGTTTTGGTAAATACATATGTGAGGACTCTTTAATAAACTAAATTAATTGGGTTGATTTTTGACAAGTTGTGGACCGAGTGAGAGTAGTCACCTCCATAGTAAGAGATGAGGATGCACTGGAGCACAAGTGGAAGCAGTGCCCTCATGCCGTGCGAAGCGGTGGACGAGTGACTCAGACGATAGCTGCATATCGCACAATCCAGCACACAGGACAATGGATGTTTAAGAAATATGACTTAACTGAAAGTAGAAATCTTCTTGGTTCTTTCGGTAAAGTCACGTAGAAGGGAAAAAATAAAATAATAAAAATAAAACAGGGAAATATTAATATTATTTCCCTTCTACGTGACTTTACCGAAAGAACCAAGAACCAACAAGATGAATCCCTGCAGTCACGAAAGCTTTAAATTGAAAGTAGAAACTAAGTTTCATCACCTACACTGAGCCAAGGCATTTGTTTTAAAGCGACTGTCAGCCCGCAAAAATTATTCACGCACTGCCACTTACCAACAACATGTTTATCAAAATTATAACTTTTAACACCTAAATTTTGAAGAAATAAAAATGTATAACTTGCCTTTAATTGCCTAATAAGTTATGCAATGGGCAGTAAAAACACAAGGTGTGCTGTAATATAATTGCGTCTCCAACGGTTCCTCAGCCTTATAAAGAGATTTGTCTTTAATCTGAAAATATTTCAAGAAACTAGGATAAGTCTCATTTGCAAGAGTAGCCTGGGTCACCGAATAATTCTAAAAGAAAAAAAAGAAAATCAAAGAAGCCTCTACTTTAATTGCATATGAAGAGAGAAGCAGAAGAAAAATTTGATTCACTGTCACAGTAACATTAAAATAGATTTCCTGAAAGCTTTATTGGAGAATTAATGCCATACAATGCAGACAGAGGATTAGCTATAGAGTATTTTCCGATAACATGGTCACCATAATTATAATAATTTTCACAATTTACTGTCTTCATACCTGGGTTGCTACAAATGTATTTTTGCACGACACGATCTTCATGTTTACGATATGACAATTATCATTCATTTCGGTTTCCTAAAGCTTTGTAATTGTATTTAGAATTATTAATATTTTGGTATTTTTAGGTTTTTCCAATACTGTACTTTCAATACATACGAAAGTTATTCGAAAGATCTTAAACTGCAGTTTACTCAACATTACTCTCCCATAATTCCTCTAATTATAGTAACTTTATGATACATAAAGCTTACGTTGTCAGTTATACGAGAAAGCATAAAAAAACAAGACCCACAAAATCATGCCATTTATTGCGGAAAACGTTTTGTAAAGTACTGCTTTAATTGCTGAAATCTACGTATGTTGTACATTTATAACTGTTGTGTGTTTACAGAAATACAGGAATTGTGAAATAAGTTTTTTTTATATATAAGAGCAATGATAATCACATGAAATTCTAATTTACAAAATGGAAGATTTTATTTGTTGTTGTACATTTGTAATTATTGTGTGTTTTCAAAAATACAGGTATTGTGAAAGAAGTTTCAAAAAAAATAAGAGCAATGATAATCACATGAAATTATAATTTACAAAATGGAAGATATCATTATCGTCGAAGATTTGTTATCATAACATTAATTGTCGTTTTTCCTCATCACCGCAACCCAAATGAATACTATGGACAGATTTAGATGCTGTGCAGAAATAACTAGTTACATAAATGAATATAGAGGAAACATCAATGCAAATTCTGAGATTAGCCAAAATTACTCAACACATATACAAGTAAAATAGAAACGGAGAAATATTGTTAACCAATGACAGTGAATTATGGGAAATGGTTGAAGTATTCCACGTAAAAAAACATTATCCTCATAATTGCATGTCTTGGATAATAATAATCAGAATAATAGTGAGTCATGTTCTAATTAAATCCTGTCATCCGCAACTCCCTGAGTCATACACATAAGCAGGACCAGTGCATTGTGTGCAATACTGTAGTTGCACAAAAGACGCTCTGTTTATGTCTTTCCTGTCAGGATATGGTCACGAAAACACATTCCAGTGATAATATGAAAAATGTAATGATTTTCATTGCTCAAATATGCTTGAAAGTCTGCTGCATTACTTTATTTTATATCCACGTTACAGTCAGGGAGGAAAATTAATTACATATTTTAATATAAGAGACACAAGGAACTAAATTCCTTCCCTTAGCTGGCATATAATGTGTAAGTGATGAACATGTAAGATGTGTTGTGTTGTCTACAGGATTAAACTTCTTCACAAATTTTCTTATCTGCATCCACATCCATCACTTTCTTCATTTATTGCATACAAGAGGAGTTTCACTGCATACTTTGGTTCAACAGTTACATTGAAACATTTTGTTTTATCTAAGGTGTCAAATTTAGTGTTTGGGCTATAACATTATTTCACAATGGCTTTTTACCGTATTTCGATTGATGCAATGTCCTTTAACTGCCACTTTTTACAGTGTAACCATAAGGTTTTATTTAAAACAACGTTGTGTCATCTAAACAGTGTACCTTTTGTACCATAACCAGACAGATGGCGTTCAAGTATTGGCCTTCAATTGCTACTTTGTTCCCCTCTCGTAGATCAGTTGGTTAGTTAGTAGCTTGGTCCGATATTGAAAGTGTCACAGACATTTGGAGAATCATTCATACAGTTTTAAGTAAACTAAAATATATAATTTCAACATTTTGTTATGAATATGTGTTATGTACTTATTACTTTAAATTGTGCATTCTTAAATATGTGTTGTTATAGCGATAAGTCAAATAAATATCTATGTCTGTGCTCTCCGGTTGCTATGGTGTTGCCCAATCGTGGCCAGCTAGCTCCCAAACTCAGTCACGAAGCTTTGGAGAGGCACCGCACCGCCCACCAACCTGCCTCGAGCACACTATCATCGGCGTGCACTCACGCACAAGAGTTCGAGTTGTATGCTGGTGAAACACATCGCTATTTCGTGGACATGATTTTACAGAACACAACCATAATTAGCAGCAGAATTTTTTTATTGTAATCTAAATGCAGAGTATAACTGTGACATAAGCCTTCATAGCAAAACATCAAAACGTGACACGTTTCAGCAGACTGTTAAATCAGAAAACTGAGAAAAATGTACTTACCTATGCACTTTTCCAACAATACTGACCAAATGCCTTTGCAATCACGACTGCTTTTTAAGCGAAATGTCCGCGACTTATATTTACACTTGAGCGGTTTGTGAACCACACCCTCCTGGCTATTGCACACCATGAAACTGACGTGAAAGATAAACATGCAAATTAGTGTGCAATCCTCATGTGGACATCCTACACACGTCAACCGCAAAGGGGTCAAAGTGGCGAGGCACCTTCTGAATAACCCAAAAACTAAGAGAGAAACCCACGAAGTGAGGCACAGAAACATTTAGCAGTTAACTGGTGAAGACATCGCGGTTATCATGAGTTTTTTCTAGCAGAAACAGGCTACTTTACACTTGATAGTGATAACCCACATCGTAAATTAAATACCATATAATATGTATCTTATATAGTTATGAGTTTCCCGCTTACTCTTCATAGAAATGCTGTACATAAAGACAACCCTTGTGGCGCTTGACACATACACACACGTCCTGAACCAACGGCAGAAGCCGCTGCACGAAAACAAATTGGACCGAATGAGATATTTTCAGGTAAGCAACAAAAATAATATTTAAAACTACTTAAAAAAAAACACGCTTTAATGAAATGTACCGTACGAGTAATGACGGAACTCCAGGAAGTGGCCACGAACCTTGCCATAACGTAAGGGACCGTGGTGATTTACAGCCCACGTGAGTTGAGCGTGGACAATTAAACATATAAAAATATTCTTTTAAAATACTGTATATTTTTTTAAATGATAGAATATAGTATTGTCATCAGTATGACATACGTATACCAAGTTTGCAGTCGATACATTGGGAAGTGGGTTAAAATTGAGTTACAAGAGTTGATACGACAACAGGGTGAGTTAAATAAAATCGTGTAAAATAATAATAAAAACGTGAAAATCCTTTGCCACGAGACACGCAGAAATATGCAAAACGGAGAATTGTGAGTGATACTTGAGACTTTTATGGATTTCAGTGCAGTACATATGATCAATGTGATATCAATTACGTTTGTCAAGAGCGAGGATTGTAAGATGTCTTCATTTCAATGTATATGAGTCTAGCAAATTAGACTCACGTGAGTTTAACACGTAGGCTTTTGCGACCAATATTATGAATAATATTGGCGACCAATATGAATAATAATATGAATAATATTGGTTGCGAAAGCCTTCGTGTTAAACATAATAGAGGTAGACTGTTGTGGGTTTACTCTCCAACACTCCGGTGTGCTGAACTAGTAAAGAATAGGATTGTTTTGCTTACGTGACAAACCTTACTAATTGGCTGTGTCGGGTAGTGGCGGGTTTAACGACACATTCATATTTACATGATCTAACCCAAAAACCTTTAATATGGATCGACTCACGTTGTGTTGTAAGGTGCTGTGTTGTAAGGCGCTCTAGCTCATGCCCAGCCACCGCATGCCAAATTAGCTTCTATTCGGCTGGATAGAGGTGGCTAAATTGCCGCAGCACAAGCTAGAGAAGAGATGAACTGATGTGGTACAGAAGGATGTGGAGCTGATTGGACTTGCGGATGACCGGTACCAGCAATGTCAAGATCGGACTCTGTGAAGGAGGTTCGTGAAGGACGCTGCTGATGCGTTGGAGGCAGTCACCCTCCAACAACAACGGAGGGCAGAGGAGCGACCCTCACAAAAAGTATGGAGCGCCGGGTGGATAAAACGCAAAGTTGGCACAGTGGGGAGCACAGTTGGTGAATCTGCCAAGTCATCTCAGTCAACCCATGGCACCTGAGTCTGTTCCCGTACGCGCCAGCGTGTCGTTGCCACTTCATGTGGCTTCAAAGTGCACCTCGCATGCCACAAGCGCCGTGGTGACATCACTACCCATGAGCGGTGAACAGCGGCTGATGTTCTTGGAAGGGAAAAGTGTAGCACGCAGCAGCGGTGGACAAGAAGTAACGATGGAGCGACTTTACAATGTCCAAACTCTGAGAGTAATCTAAGATTGTAAATAACAGCTTAACTGTTAAGACAGGTGCTGCGTTTGTTTTTTTGAGTTGTTTCTACATTGCACGTTAATCTCAGCTGCAGGCCGTGACAAAAATAACCGTTCTTCAGTCACTCATGCTTCCTGCCCTGACTTAGGAGTTGAATTACATAACCTTGAACTTCACACAGCCCAATACAACCTCTGCGTTATGAGAATAGGGTTCCCATTTTTCTGGCAACAAAACAGGTGTGAAGATGTTAAAACACCAAACTGAAACCTTTTAAGGGAATCATGTCTGCATTAACCACAATACTTGTGGTCAGAATCAGTGGCGGCTCCTGCAAAATCTCTCAGGGGGGGCAAATGTCTGGATGATTGATAAGGATAAGGTCCACCCATGCAATGGATAAATTAACAGCTTAAGCATGTAAAGGCAATTTCACTTCTTTAATATTAATGAAAAATAAAGTGACTCTTACAATACATCTTGTTTGTTTCTATCTCACTATTATTACAATCCACTCAGTTTCTTTTATTAAAGATTCCACTAGGTGGCGACAAATAATATTGTTGGATGAAACGTGCTTACGTATGATGACGCAAGCACGTTAGTGCGAGCCCTCCCGGAAGCCATAGAGAATGCATTGCAGCGCCCGCCGTTCGAAAAAAAACATCTTTGAATGTAAGTCTATGGGAACACTCGGGGCGATTCTCAGCCGGAGTGAAATCGCCCAAAAAGAGGCGGTACTCCACAGAACGTGACATGACGCTGATTGGACTATATCCAGAGGCACAGTAACGGCTGAGATTGGTGGTGCGTCGCCCAATCGCCCTAATGAAGAAACCGCCCCTGGTATATAGTAATGCAGTATTTAATTTAAAGTTGGGTTTGTCTATGGCAGTATATAGTATGGGGTAGATCCGTGTGATGTAAGGAAAAAGTTTAGCTGGAGGCATATTATATTTTTTGCGACATATAATTGTAATGTATGACTTATTGTTAGTAGCTCAGCTTATTGGAGAGTATATTTAGTATATTGATGATATTGATGTAGTTTATATTTTAGTTTTTTACGTGGTGGTTTGGCTGCTGCTGCTCCTTACTATAAAAATTCCTTCCCTTAATTACTTCTAACCCTACCTCCTCCCTTTGTTGCTGCTAATCCTACATAATGCACGGGCATAATATGACTTTGAGACCCCCCCCACCTCCTACGCATTCCACAAGTAGTGACTAATCCCATATCTGAATTTTCCATAAATATGCTAAATTCATCTGTTGATATGCAAATTCCTTTGTCAAGGCGCCCTTCCTCCCCTAACCCAGCTTAAATATACGCTGCCAAGCTTGGTGGTGTTCATTCCGACAGACCTGTTCTTCACCTGAGGACGGCTGCTTGCGTTGTGGCCGAAACGTCGTGAGAATTGTATTTTATGTTTTATTTTTATTATTTTATTTTTTCCCTTCTACGTGACTTTAACGAAAGAACTAAGAAGATTAATCCCTGCAGTCACGAAAGCTTTAAATCGAAATATATGCAGTCTTTGAAACTGATTGGTCCACATCAGTGACAGCTTTCTTTTGAGCCTCAGTGTTAGTGAAAGGGGTCTATTTACGACACTGACGTTTCAACTTTGCATTTCCATTTTTAAAATGTAACACATTTTAGAGACTATAAGCACTTTCAGCTGATTTCTATGTATGGTTGTGTAGCTTGTAAGGGACGGTGCAATAAAAAATGGTGCCCTGTGCGAACATTGTATTCAGACCCTGTGCTTTTAATGGTTTCAAGAATGGCAAGGCATACAATTTTCAAAATAAATATTCCATTTATATTTTTAAAATGTTTTCCAGAAATATTGAAAAGGAGACTTTGTTGCCGCAAATTCTTATATCGCATGTAAATTCCAATATCGCCCATATATTGATATGGGCATCATCATGCCTGGAATGCCCCACAGCACACCCGCACGGAGCTGAAAGACACTCATGTATACATGTCTAGTACATGTGTAGAGATACTTACATGAGATGAGGTAGAGTTACTTACATGAGATGAGGTCCCCACGAGGGTCTGACGTCATCAGGGAAAAGGGGAGAGAGGGGTGACGTCAGCGGGAGAGGCGGAGGCTGGGGGCGTGAGAGTGCCGCGAATAAAGTAAAGTTGTACTCACTTTATTTACGAGCCATGTTCACTCGAACAGATGGAGACTCCACTGCAACAGCCCCGAGTCTCTCGCGCATCTCCCTTGATACGGACCGAGGCCACACCTCGGTGGCTCTGGACGCTCGCTCCACCAGCAGACTCGACCGTCCTCTTCCGTCACCTGACCACGCTCCAAATCTCGATCATTCCCGTAGCCACCAGTCCCTTGGTACTGTAGGATGACTCCCCTGTCATTACCTCCCACAGCCACTTGTCCACTCACACCGCGGGTAGACTCTACTGTCATTACATCACTCCCCACCCTTCTTAAAAATGTAGCCGCCCTGGCTAATACCAAGACTTAAGAGACATGTTTTTTCAACAATTAGGGCAGAATGACAAACATCCGCATCGAAAAGAACCTGCCGCTCGACTATAGAAACCAACAATAACAATACAATATGACGAGTGAGTGGTGCAAGCCACTTCACACGAACAACAACTGCACTGGGGTACACGTAAAAAAAAAATGTTTGGCTTTAGAAATTGAGAGTTCACTTCGTGGTTTGGAGAGCCGCTATCGCAGCCGTAAAGTTCTCTCGACCGAGTTCTTGACACTGGACCATTGCACGTGTTGGAGTCTTGTGGGCCTCTGAGACTCAGATGGTCGCATACTGTGGGTGGCACAATGCATTCCCCGGGTTGCACGACTGCCCTAGCATGTCGAACACACCATACCCCAGCCACACAGTAGTATTTTCCCTCGCCACAGCATGTGCCTCCGACACCCACCCGAGCGTAACCTGCAGCAGCACGGGTACGTCCTGTCTTTGTTTCTTTGAAGCCATACCCAGTTGGGGGGCTCGTGCTCCCGCCCGTACATTAACAAAATGGGGAAAACCCCATAGAGGCGTGTGGAGCCATCCTGTACGCTGCCAGGACCCCTGGG